TAGAGTATCTAAACCTAGGTATAATGATTTTTGGTGTCTTGGATTGTTGGGCACCATTAATATCTAAAAATATCATTTATTATGGGTGGTTGGAAGTTTGTGATGCTGTTAATGGGGATCTAATGGCTCATTAATGCTACTAGGGGCTAGAGGTAATTATTAAACCTAATGGATAGGCCCCAACTCTTGTAGAGTGAATGTTAGGTAATTTAGAAGTAGAGATTAAGGGTTTAAATGTTTGAGTTAGTTATGTTGATAGAATTCAACTAGGTTAATTGTAGTTTTAGCTCTTGGTCACCTATTGGATTGGAACTTCAAGCTTGAAAGCTAGTTAATTGAGGGGTAAACTTTTGACCTCTCCAAGGTTTGAGGTAACTAAGCAAAAACTCTACTTTAGGTAGTTACATGTTAATTAATTGTTAATTAGTTGTTGAATGTGAATTGTGAATGTTACATGCATGGGATTGATTGTTAAAATAAATACTATATATTAGTTTCACAGAGTGCATGAAAAAGCTATTTTTGACTTGAAAATGAAAAATGCGAAGTCAAGAGGATTTTAACTATGAACATGCTTTTGTTTTTAAAAAATGAATATGATGACGTCTACAGGTATTTGTTTGCTAATGAGAAATGAATTTTGAAAAAATGATGAGAATATACACTTGGGTAGTGCAAAGTCGTAAGCCTAACGTGATTGTTGTAATAATAAGTATATGAAAGCGAAAAAAAGTGAGAACAAGTGAGAATTGTTTATGGCATGATCAGTGGTGAGAGTTTGCCTAAGGATTATGAGTAGAGAAAAATCCATATGGTATTTAGGCTGCCTTCCAGTACACAGGGGTATAGCCTTGTCCCACAGTTTGTCGAGGGACTATCTCATAGTTTGTTGAGGGACTAGAACCTAGCTATCTCTACCAGTTCAATGAGGAGAATAGACTAGGGTATGAGATACCCTAAGGATTTGAGAATGGGAGAAGCCATGGTCTGAGAATGAGTCCTGTGATCTTTGACCGGGTCACACCTCATAGTTGGTGAGCTTGGGTAGTCCAGTCACACGGACAGAGCCCTAATCAATATTATAGTCCACGATTTCAATCTGAGAAAATAAGAAAGATATAAGGTTGGTAAATATATATGTCGTGTCACACGTGCTAAGTGGTGGCAAGTCACATAAGTATGGGTCATGTCACATATCTGAGAATATGGTGATAATGTACCTAGTTATGAGAGTTAAAGAAGTTATAAAATGATAAATTATGATATATGTGGTTTTGTTTTGCATACTTGATTTCCTTGTGCATGTATTTAGTTTATAATTGACATATGACTGCATAGGATAGGTTTAACCTTAGTTACTGAGTGGCCAGACTCTCCCCCTTATTTAATACTCTTCAGGCTCTAGTTCTGGTGTTGAGAGGGAGAAGACTCAAGAGGTGGGGAATTAGCATATTCCTACTGTATGCCTCTAGTTTAGATTTAATTGTGTAATGGTATATGATTTGTCAATTCTAGGATGCATGCCTTCACACTTGCACTATTTTGTTGTTGGAAATATTAGACTGGTACTTCGGGCCTCTAGTCTTTGTGTATATTGATATATATATATATATATATGTTTATTAAGCTAAAATACTAGTACAAGTGTAGAAATAATGTTTTGAACGATTTGGGCAAGATACAATGACAATTTACATCCCCTTCTGTTTTTGGTAAAATAGGGTTAAAGAGTGAATTTTTATTATAATGATGTTTCAGTGCTTATGACATATTGTATTGGTAGTCCTAGGTCTATTTGACATGGTCCAGGTGTTAGGAAAAGCTTTTAGCATTTGTTGAGGGTTTTGAACACCCATTTTGTGTAAAAGTATTAAAAAGTGATTAAAATGTGTTTGAGTGTCCAACTTCCAAGTGTGACTTGTTTTGAAAGTGAAACCCATGCCATTAGCTAGTTCATGTAAAGAGCTTTCCGTAGATATCTAGATCATGTTATTCGGACATTGAATGGAGAAGTAGGGCCAGTCAAAAGTTCCCCGATTCTGCTATCAAAGGACAGTAAAATCAGTGAAAATTTTGTGCAACACATCACGGCACATGGCGCCTAAGCCACGACGCGTGGCATAGAGAGCAACATTCCGTGACGCAGTGTGCACGAGCCACGGCACATTACCCTATATCATAGCACATGTTTTGTTTTTCAACTGTTTTCGACTTCTTTCACTCCTCTGAGGTATCCCATGCTTTCGTATCTTATTTTTACTTTGATATGAAAGATTTTGATTAATTTTAACTCATTTTCACTTAGAAAACTTGGGATCCCATTGAACCTTGGTAACTATCTTGTTGAGCTAAGTCTCTGATTACTAGGTATTTTATTAGTTAATTTTGTTTAGTGGAGTGAGAATGTTTCAAGTTTGAAGAATTGTACCTTTACTTTCTTGTTTGTTCTTCAGTTAGAAGCAATTAGCTTTAATGTGGTCGGGTTTCTTGCAATAATTGCATAACCCCTTAAAGGGTTTCTTCCTCAGCTTCTCATTCTTATCACCATCCTTCTTAAAAGTTAAATTGTTAGACTTTGGGACCTTTGGGGCCTCATGCTTCTTCCCCTTTTTCTTATACAACCCTTCAGATTTGCTGCTAGAGCCATAAGAAACATAATTTACTAAGTGAGAGGAATTTTTTTTTATAGCTTCCTTTTCTTGAGTGACTATTGCTATCATCTAGTCAACAGACCATTCAGCTTCTTATGAGTTATATGAAGTCCTCAAGAATGCGTACTCCGGTGGCAATGATTGAAGAACATAGTAAACTAAGGTACTTTCACCCAAGTCAATTCCATATGACTTAAACTTGTTATAGTAATGAACAAGCTTCAAAATATGCTCCCTGACACTAGAAACTCCGTCATATCGAGTATTGTCAAGAAGTGACAAATAGTAATTCTTTTGAGTCTTGTCAAGCTTCTTGTATTTGTTACCAACGGCTTTCAAGTATTCCACTGTAGTATCCTTTTCAGAAATGCTGTCCCTAATTTTCTTTTCAATTGTGTACTTAATGATCGCTAGACATATTCGGTTGGATTCACTCCATTGTTTATAGAAGGCCATTTCAGAAGCATTGGACTCGGAAGAGAGATCTGCAGGCTTGAGTTCTTTTAGAGCTAAATCTTTCTTAAAAATGGTAAGATACATATTTAGAGACTCTTTCTAGTCGTCATAGTTAGTCCCATTGAGAACCTTCACAAAGGATAGTTGCACAAAAGCAAAAACTAAAATCGCAAAACAGAAAATGGAAAAAATTAATTATGCATACATAATATAATTATAAAACAAAATTTCCCAATAAGTGATTATCAATTATGCAACTATAATCATGCACCAAGAAGGCTCAAATACCATAAATATTTAGCTTATACAAAAGTTCATACAAAATAATGCATTAAATATTTCTATACCTATAGAGTATAACAAATATCTAATACATAAAAAGAGTGCTATTAACCTATCTTCAAAACTAACCATCAAAATCACATTAATAATGTCACACCTATGGGGTATGTCCATTATTAATGCTACAAGATCCTAAGCATCACCAATAATTCACAAAGTCACAAATTTTATGACCTTAGGATAAAAAAAATAATTTCAAAAGTCCTTGAGGTCCATTGAGAATTAGAGAATAAATTTGAGACTTAAGTAAAAATTTAAAAAGTGTTTAGGGGTAAATAGGTAATTTTTGGAAGAGATTTAGGTGAAAAAATACAATTCTGGAAGTTAAGGGACTCAAATATAATTTTTAAAAATTTCATGAGTCACAATGTGAATAGAAGAAATAGTGGGCGAAGGAGGTAATTTAAACTGGGCTCGAAATGTAATAAATAGAAATAATTAATTTTTTTAACACTACTAGGCCGAGATTCAGGCCCAATATTTATTTAAGTGAAATGATGCGTTTCACCAATGGCCCATCATCTTGCTTCCCTTTTTTTTAAGATCTAGGCTCATATGAAAATTGGGCCTAAAACCAGTAGAACCGAAACCCTAAGATTTGGTTCTTAAACCTATTTTGGGTCTCCTTCAGCCGCTGCGAGAGGAGACCCATCCTTCTTGATGCCAGTGTCCATAGAGGAGTAGCCAGCCACCACGATGCTGGCATCTTCCACGACGATGAGAGCTGGAGTTTGTTGCCACCCACGACTTGTACGGTGTGGACGCTACTGAATGGTGTCTTTCTCTGCCAGCCACGCATCGTGCAGCTTCTTCGATGGTGGATTAGAGTGGCATAGCAGTTGAGGAAGGAGGAAACAGTGCTATTTTTGGTGACAGTAAAGCAAATGCTAAGACACCATCTTGGCTAGCGAACACGGAGACGCTAACAATAATGACGAAGACGCAGGGAAGGATAGAACGAAGAACAAATAATAAATCAAATTTTATATTTGTTTGCAACACTCTCTTAAATATAATATGATGATGCACATATGAGTATATGAAAATCTCATATTCATCCTCATCTTCAATAACATGAATATAAGGAAATTATCAACATATGAGTATGAATCTCTATCAATATATCATTATATGCATTAGAAGAATTGAGATATATAAATTAAAAATTCGTAAACCAGGCTTTAATGCCACATGTTAATTGTATATTTCAATTCATATGAATAAGTAAAGTAATTTATGCATATTTGAAGAATCCATGAGCATTTACTAGAGATACCTCAATCACCTCAAGTATAGATAGACGCATAATCCACTAGACCCTAAAGTCTTCAAAGAGTGTAGAGATAATGAAGTAGAAGAAAATATATCGTATGTTTAGTAGTTATCGACTGATCGACTTATAAGGATCAGATCAGTAACCGCTTTATTAAATAATTATTTTTTATTATCTTTGACTCAGTCAGTTAAGAGATAAAAAATAATTAACGGATACTGAGTTGTGGATTGGGCTTCTACCCATTGGGCTCACTTGTGTGGTTCACCTATTACAGCCCACACAAGATCATAAGTATCAATCTGTTTAGGATTATTAATTAATGTAAATTCATTTAAATATTCCAACATTTTTTTTATATTTTCGGCTTTTCATGGAGGTTTTCTTCATTTTAATTAACTCAATTATTCAATAGAAATATAAATAAAATTTTATTGCAAGAGGAGAAAGATGGAATTTTAATGGTTAATAAAAAGTTAGGATTCAAACCCGTGCTAAAAAGTAGGTTGCAAATTGAAAAATTTAAACCGATCGACCAATAAAGTCTTGATTGAAATATATAATCCAAGCCTCTTCTTCCATTTTTTATTTTTAAGCTTGGAAATAAATAAAAAATATTTTTTTAAAAAAAATTGCCAGTAAATTTAAACCGATCAAGTCTATATTGAGAGTTCAAGTTTATTACTGTTGGCGTGGTGGAGTTTCAAAGATTGGCCATGGATTCTATTTTTGGTAAAATTACGCTTGCTTGCACATGAAAGAGTGTGTGGGTGACTCGTTGGTCTTGCTCAGCTCGCATCCAAGTTTTCACCCCCGAAACAATTGCGTACTGAAAATCCAAAATGCTTATTCCCCTTTACTTCACTCAACGAAATCGCCGTGAGAAATAACGACTCTTTGTCAATGAGGTAACTGTACAACCATACAACGCAAGCCCTGCATCCCCATGATTAAAAAAAAGGATACAATCACTCCAATCAAAAGCTGTGTTATTAAATATAATCACACACACACCAATAATTTTTTTATGAATACTATATACCAACCACGAGTGCAAAAAGACTGAGCAAGCGTACGTCCTTCTTACCATGCGAGGTGGTCATCCAGAATTACCGCGAGAGGGGAAAGCGGCAAACCAAGATAAAAGCGAGAAGAAGAGCCACAGAAGCAGCAATGAAGGCAATAATAGACCAAGGGTTGCTGAAATAGGTATTACAAGCCATAGCGAACCACGTCTTGCACTTCTTATAATGCTTTTCTATTTCAGCTCTGAGAGACGTGTATATGGAGGTATGAGCCACCAAGTCTTTGCTTATGATGTTAAACAGTTCTGCTACTTCCTCGTCACTTCCAAGGCAGTTGCGCAGAATGCCTGCCCTCCTCAGTTCCTTTACATCTTCCGCGTGGTCGATCAAGGAGTCCAAGAATTCTACGTACGAGCTTATCTCGTAGTTGTTGTCAAAATATGGGCACCCCTCGTACGCCATCAGGTTCAGGTATGTCGGAGCGGTTGTGTCGTCCACTATCATGTTTGGAAATTTCAGTTCTCTGCCGAAATAGGAAGAAGAGAAAGTGATGTCGATGGGGCACTTTGACTTGTTTCTTTTCACCTTAATCCCCGCTTCTTTCAACTCTTTTAAATTCTTGTGCGTTATCTCGCCGCTCTCGATCGGTTTCTGTGGAATATGGGGACGAAAATCACGCAATACTTTCCTCCGCAGTTAATCAAGAAGGTGAACTGGATTAGGAGAAGGAGGATCAACATCAATCACACGATCACCTTCAGCTCCATGCTGCTAATCAGGCTTTTCTGATGAAAAATGATGACAAAGAAGGAACTTGACCATGGCATTGATGAGTTCGGTGTCGGAGAGATCACTCAAGAGCTGGAGGAGCCAGAAAGGAAGTTGATTCTCTAGCAAGAGCGCGTCTTGGCGAACAAAAGCAAGCTGGTCAACCTTGGCTTTGAGTGGTTCTGCCTTCAATATGTCCGGATACTTCAGGATCTGAAGCAGTGCGCATCCATCCGCAAACAACATCCACGCCAGGTCATTGTCGTCGTTGAATTGCAGAACCGATCATCAGTGTATAGATCCTTCAGATCCTTGATATTCACAACAATCTTTGCACGCAGACGTTAGACCTCATTCCAATCACCTTGCACGTGCATGTTTGCCCATGAAAGCTTGTACCGCTCTCCTAACTCGAGATGGGGTTCTCCGTGGTGAATGGGACCAAGGGACAGCATCTTAGGAGAGCAGTAGTCTGCAAAAGCTGGTCGACTTCTCAGATGATGTGCCACCCTCTGTATCTTGGGCCATACACTTGGCGATGTATTTGGGGGGTTTTGCAGCTGGTGGGCATACCGATCTGCCATGGTAATTATATTAAAGAGACTGAGAGTTGAGATAATGTGGCTGTCTCATGTATCTAGATGCATGTGAACACTAAGGTCCTTGTCTTTGTGTATAAATTTATAGCGGCAAGATCTCCTTATGCTTGTATTCAAATAATGAAAAAGTTGCAATAAAATTTTTTCGGATTATATAAATAACAATATGATCTCTTGAAATATCATAATTTCAATAAATTTGTAGGAGCTTCTATGTCAATAAATTTTAAATTAAAAAAATTATTCTTATTGACAAGTTACAATTTCTTGTTCAATTTTTACAATTTTTTAAATAAATTAAAGTTATTCTTTGAACAAAGATTATGATTGAGGCTTATTATTTTGAGAACTTATTTTTTAAAAATAAAAATTACACTTGACGAATAGTGATTTCTCGTTCAACTCTTGCGATTTACAGAATAAAAGTTATTATTCCTTAAGTAAAAGTTGTGATTGGAGCTCATTATTTTGAGACACAAATTACACATAACAGATTGTGATTTCTTATTCAACTCTTGCAATTCACAGAATAAAAATTGTTATTTCTTAAGCATAAGTTATGATTGGGATTTGTTATTTTTAATAGGGTAAAATGATCTTTTCACTTTAAAATTTATTAACACAAAAATTTATAAAAATTTCAGTAGAATTATAACATTTTAAGTGAATAAATTATTATTTATATAATTGATAGAGATTTTATTATCATTTTTCTTAAAATAATATCTATAGATGAAATGATATCCATTGGATAAAGTAGCTAGCTAGCTTTGCAAATATTTCATGTTTGACATATATAGCCTATGATAGGGTGCTAATGAGACATGATTTGAAGTAATCTATTGTGATGGACCCATGCCGAAGATCATTAAATGTTTTCGTAAATTGCTAATTAGAAAACTGTAATGTTGAAGCTAGCAGCGTCTGCTCTGATTTATAGAGCTCGGGCAATGAGAGTAAGAACTAATGAACCACGTACTGATAGGATCTAAATAAATAATGGGATCGATGCTTGACTTGACCCGATCTTTCATTCCTTACTTGCTAAACGAGACAAGTAAAGGACTCGATGCAAGGAATAAAGATGCATCACCACCGTATGCTATGAAGTATACTAAAGCAAACCCAAGGCCAAAAGTTTGCTTGATTTGTACGAAAGAATTTGCTGATTGATTAGTTAAAGACTATCCACATCTTTATATGATAATTAATTAAGGCATTGTTTTGTCCTGCTTCATTAAAGTATCGGAAAGTATATATTATTCTCGACTTTTTTTATAAGAAACGCATATAACCGTTTCGTACATGGAATAAGGAATGTAATGAAGATCAATAAATATGTTTGAGATTTATTTTTTCTCAAAATATCCTTGTTAATTGCCTGGCAATGTGATTGTATATTCAACGATGATAATTAACTTTATCATATTCCTTAAGAGGGTAAAAAATTTAAGTAGTGCGAGAAATTAAATAATGAGTAATTGTTTCATATATGTAGAGGGAAAAAAACTCATTTTTTATGAAGAGGAGGTTCAATTGAGTAACTAGGTGAATTATAGGTTGGTAAAAAAGCTAGGTGAATAATAGAATTTAGTAAAGGGTCAAGGTACATTTTTCCCTTGAACTAATCTCTGTGTAGTAGGGCTGTGCAAAAAGTTTTCTAGTTCAATTCAGTCTAGTCCAACCATGAGACAAGGTCGGCCCTATCCAATCTGGAAAAAAATTAGTCTTTTAAGATCAAAAAGACCAGACTCTTTCTTCAAGTTGGACTGGATAAGAGACTGAACATTTAGACCACCTGGCTTGGTCTAGTCCTATAAATTTATTTAATATAATTATAATTAATTTATTAATTATTATTACAATAAGTTAATTTATAATAATAATTTATATTTTTTGGGTTTTATACTTTGAAGTCATAAATACTGAGCAAAATTAGAGCATTGACCAACCACAATCTTCTCCTTTTATTGGCAAAATTTGTTGTTAACTTGATGCAAAGGCTTTTAGACATGTTGCAGGTTGTTTAATTTGAATCATTTGTGTTGTAACTGAAATATTTTTTGTTTGTTGTTATTGGGGATTGTTCTAAATATATAATTGTTGTTGTTGTGATAACTTTTACATGGCCATTAATAATTTTATTATGTTAATTGAGTTTATTATGTTAAAATAAATTGCTACCCTCATAGATGAAAAAGGAAAAAACAAAGTTAGATGATAGATAAAATTGGGACCAGTCTCCTAATCCTACTGGACCAATCCAATCTTATTCGACTTCGGGTTATACCAAGAGACCAGGGGTTGATTAATTCAATCCTTTTTATGAAAAGGACTAGACTTTAGGTTGGGTCAAAGTCCTGTTAGGTTAGTCTTTTGTGCAGCCCTATTGAGTAGCATCTAATATCCTAAATTATTTATCCTAACAATTTCTCCCCTGAAGTAATTAAAACACAGCATTTTCCCTGATGTTAAATACTCCAATGTTGACCGTTAAAAATATTGGCTCAAATTTAAATTTGATAAAAAATGTCACCTATCATGCCAAGTGGATTTTGGTTAAGATGTATTTTTCCCCATGCATTATTCTATGAGGAACAACCATTGTCCTAAACTATTCTCATTATAACAATTTCACTCAAAAAGTAATTAAAGCGTAGTGTATTTCCAAACATCCATAAATAATTCAAGACAAATTCCTTTTTTGCCCTTCTTTCAATTTAATTAAAATAAAAATAAGTTTGGCCCATCCAAACTACCAACTTTAAATTGGAGAGGGAGGACATGTAACCTCCCTGAGATTAAACCACAATTACTCCAAATCATGGTAATCCAGGGCTTAACCTTTCAAGAATTACCAAACTGTAGGGTTTATAAAAGGAAATTTCTCAAAATCTTTTTAAGGGAATCTCAATCTCAACAGTTCAAATCTCAAACATAATTTAAGAACTCCAAATCAGAGTTTTAAAAACAAAGCGGAAGCTTGAAAATCAATTGGGACCTAAATAATGAGTTTTAAAACTTATAAATAAATTTTATGTAGAAAATGACACGTGCGTCGTGGCAAGTCTTCTTTGTGCCATGTGTCGCGGCGTGAGGCACCATACGTCGCAGTGCATTGCACGAAATTTGACAGATCAGTGCTGTCATTTGATAGCTCGGGAGGCAAACTTTCGACGCATCCCAAATCTCCGTCCTACGTCCGATTGAGGTAGTTTCGATGTCTACACAGAGCTTTCTCCTAGCTCTAGCTAATGGCATAGGTTTAACCTTTAAACTCATTTTCTATAAAAAAGTTGGACACCAAAACCCATTTTTACCATATTTTCACAAAATCTCCCAAATGGGGTGTCCCAACTCAACAATAAGTGCCAATAGCTTACACAAACCATCTGACCACATTCAATAGACCCTTACGAACTCGTGCAAAACACCACACACAATCAAACACACTTATTTTGCAAAATCACCACTCAACCCCAATTTTCACAAAACATAAAAGAGGAGAAAAAGTTCCATAAAATCAACCATTTCATTCATATTTCTCAAAAATACATATGTTCCTATGTGCACAAGTATTTTAGCCCTATCCACGAGTTCACAACAAAAACTCACTAACCCAAGGCACAAAATACACTAGTTAAAATACAAAATCATGCAAGTAGAGCACCAATCATAACAATCAATCCTAGTTGGCAAATACATTAACAAATACACATGAAAAACAACTAAAGAGAGGCATATAGAGGATTTACTCCACAATCCTAAGCCTCTGTATGTTTTCCCCGACTCGGATCCGATGAGCTGGATCCTGAAAATATTGAGAATTGAAGGGTAAGTGCAACCATTCAGTAACCAAGTTTAGCTTAACCTATATAGTTGCATATCAATTAAAATAGATGCAATTAGGCAAACAAACATATATTTCACATAGCGCGAAGCTATAGTTCACAAAACTAACAACCATGTGACCAGGTTTACCATAAAACACTATATCATGATATTTTGCAAAAACATAACTCAGGGTCGCAAAAATAACAACCATGCACCCTTAACACGTGCCAGACCACAAAACTAACAACCATATGGCTGGACTTATGTGCATAATCATATGTCAACCTTTTATCCTCCTATTACCTCTGACACGAAACTGGTGGCTATCACATGGCTACGTCCTTCACGGACTAACCCAACCTTCCACTTGTGAGGAGCTACTAGGCCAAGGTTAACTTACTCACTTATGTAATCCAGTTTTCCCCAATACTAACAACCATGGGGTGTCGTACCCCTAATCTAGCCCCTTTATGAACTGGTGAAGACTAGTTAGGTTTGAGTCCCTCATAGAACAAGTGGGACAATCCTGAGTCAACCATGGGATAAAGGCTACCTCCTAATTTCAACGGTTAGTGCCAAGGCTAGTTCTTGATTCCAAAAGTCACTGCCAATACCACGTGGATTTTTAACCAATCTACTCCTTTTCCTAGATGAACTCCCACCAATAAGCATGCTATGCACATTTCACGCATAATATTCATTTTAACAATCATTCCTCAACACATGAACTACATAACACATATGCTCTATAATTTAACACATATTTCATCACAATTCTCCACCCATAGTAATAAATCATAATTAATTTCATAAAACAACAAGGGTAGTAGAATCAAGGTTTTCTTTCTCAAAACCATTTCACAATCAAGTATTTTCCAATATGTATCATCAATTTAACTCACAAATCACATTTTACAACACAATTAACATTTAACTATAAAAATTAAGTTTTTCCCGGTTACCTCAAACCTTTGAGAGGTCAAAGGTTTACCCCTCAATATAACAACTTCCCAAAGCTTCAAAAAGTTTGAATGGTGCCAAAATAAACCTCTATTCATCCAAACCATAAGAACATCATCATTACCTAGCTCTTAAAACTTTATCAACATAAAACTCCACATACACTATTTTTTATCAACTCATAATCGATACCTATTCTTACCCAATGGGTTCATTAGATTTCATT